TAGGGACTGAGGCCTCAAGTTCAAGGGATTTTAGTTTTTTGGGATTTGCTTGCTTGGTGACCGTGGTGGGGCGCCGAAGGGTGGTGGAACCCCAAAAGCCTAAACCCTAAACCGCAAACCCTGAAACACCAGACTGCCCCACAAGAACCGCTCAGGGACAACTACTTAGTAATTGAACTGTTGGGGTTTGGGTTTGCGGGTTTAGAGTATAGGGGCCCCTGTTCCCCTCTCCCCTGAAAAAAAGAACAACTGCGGAGGGAGCGCTCTCTTTTATAACACGCTGCCATCAGTGGTACATCTGAGTCGTCTTCAAGGTTCATGGGTACGAGGGTAGCCATTTTGGTGACCTAAAATGGGGCTTTAGGGGTTCTGGTTGCAGGCTTTAGGGTTTAGGGTTTAGGGTTTAGGGTTTAGGGTTTAGGGTCTAGGGTCTAGGGTTTAGGGTTTAGGGTGCTACTGCTTCGGCAACTCCACTCCGTTGGCCGAGAGGGTCTCGAGGATCGAAGCCTGGATCGGGCGTTGAGGGTTGAGGGTTGAGGGTTGAGGGTTGAGGGTTGAGGGTTGAGGGTTTAGGGTTTAGGGTTTAGGGTTTAGGGTTTAGGGTTTAGTGTTTAGGACTTAGGCTTCGATCTCTCAAATAAGGTCCCTTCTGGGGGCTCCTGTTTCTAGTGCTCGCACCTTTTACCACCCTAAACCCTAATCCCTAAGCCCTAAACCCTAAACCCTCTCTTCACCTTTACTTCCCCCCGCCCCCTCAACAAAAAGCTGACCGACGTCAAGGCCCAAACCCTAAACCCGCATGTTGGGTCCCTAGCCCCGCCCCAAGCCCTGAGCCTAGCAACACCAAAAGTGCATGGAATATAGCGTGTGAAACACCCTAAACCCTAAACCCTAAACCCCAAACCCCAAACCCCAAACCCCAAACCCCAATTCATGTGATTCGGGTCTCCGGTTGATTTGGGAAAGGTGGACAAAAGCAACGCTTCGATGGAGTGCTAAACAATGGCAGGAAAAAGCACAACTACTAATTGCTTAAGAACGCCCCCCCCCCCCCAAAAAAAAACAAAGAACAACATGCATATGCAAATGTATGTGTATATATATATATGCATATATACATATATATATATATACATACATACATGATTCCTTAGACTGGCAATATAGGGATGATTATCTTGTGCTTCGGCGGGTTTCTGATTCTTAAGAAGTTTGTAGATAAGGATTCTACAAATATGCTTTCAGGAATCCGCTTTCTTCTTAGACTGAGTAATTACACGGTCCCTTAATATGGGCTCTTGATTGGGAAACCCCCTGAGATAATCCTGAAATACCCTATGCAACCGCACGCAACTACCCTTAGGCTATAGGTGCCCGCAGGCCCCCAATAGCAGGATTCCTTATGTTTCGGTGGCTCGTGGGCCCCAAGAATGGGAAAACCCGCACCGATGTGCAGAAGACTGGGGCTGAGCTGCATTGCAGCTTTTGGGTTTAGGGTTGAGGGTTGAGGGTTGCCCTAAACCCTAAACTTGTAAACAGCCCTCAAGCTTCATTATTGTTGTTGCCTTTTCTATTTTCCGACATTGCTTTGAGGATTCTTCACGATGACGATTCTGAGAACAGAGTTCGCGGCTCACGGCGTTGGATCTCGAACCCCTGAAGCACCCGCCGAGAAGCTTCGTCCATTTCGCCCCACATGGACAAGGTTTGCATCACCTGAGCTGATCGGCCCTGTTCGCACCACACTGGCAGCCTCAGCGCAGGGTGGACGGGCATAGGGTGCGTTGGAGTTGGTTTAGGGTTTAGGGTTTAGGGCTTAGGGCTTAGGGCTTAGGGCTTAGGGCTTAGGGCTTAGGGCTTAGGGTTTAGGGTTTAGGGTGTTAATATTGGGGCCTGTTGTGGTGTCTTGGGGTAGCTACGAGTCAGAAAGCCTTGAACCCAGCAAACCTCCAACAAAACAAGCACTTTCAGGGACGCGAATACCTTTGAAATTCAGGACTATTCCTTCAAATGTAAGTTGGTCCCTTATGTGGTTCTACGAAATCTTCCTCATAATTAGCTAAGGGGTATTGGAGTCTCTGCACCTTGCTGCACTGTGTAATCTCCTGTCTTCATCCATTGGCGCGTCTTTTTGGAGCTGTGACCACTAGTTGAAGAGCCCCTCTACAGCCCCTTAGAGCACCTCTGTAGCCCCTCTATAGACCTAAGCCCTATGTAGGACTAAGGGCCTAGGGTTTGGGGCTCCGGGTTTAGGGGCTGCTGGGATTTCTGGGGTGTCGGGTTCAGGGTACAAACCCCAGACCCTGAAACCTAAACCCTGAGACAGCCCAAGGACTCTCAAGGAAGGAACATATGCCTTGAGTCATCATGAGGATGCCTATACTACTATTTGCTTAAGAACCCCCCAAAAAATAGAATAATATAAAATAATAATGATAATAATAATCACTATATTCCCCTGATTATAAGGAAGAATACTGTACTTTTGTTTCTTGGGTGTTCTTGAGCAATTACTAGTAGATGCTAGACTCAAGAATAACCCAGGAATAAGAAGAGTGCACCCTTTTGGTTTAAAGGAGCGTATAAGGGAACCTAAACCCTGAAACGAGGGAATAAGGGCCTTCTCTGGGTCCTAGCCCTGAACCCGAAACCCGAAACCCTAAACCCTACACCCCCAAAAAAGGGAATAAGGGACTACTCTGGGTCCTAGTAGTTCAAGGTGTCTTCCCTTAAATTAAGGGCGGTATTGGGAGCTCTTTGGGCTGGTCTTGCCAGCGCCTGAACCCCCGAAAGGTTTAGGGTTTAGGGTTTAGGGTTTAGGGTTAGGGTTTAGGGTTTAGGGTTTAGGGTTTAGGGTTTAGGGTTTAGGGTTTAGGGTTTAGGGTTTAGGGTTTAGGGTTTAGGGTTTAGGGTTTAGGGTTTAGGGTTTAGGGTTTAGGGTTTAGGGTTTAGGGTTTAGGGTTAGGTTTAGGGTTTAGGGTTTAGGGTTTAGGGTTTAGGGTTTAGGGTTTAGGGTTTAGGGTTTAGGGTTTAGGGTTTAGGGTTTAGGGTTTAGGGTTTAGGGTTTAGGGTTTAGGGTTTAGGAACCCCTAAACCCCTAGTCCGCAGGGTTTCTGAGGCAAGCGTCTGCCGAATCATGGACCCACTCTTCTCCTGCATAATCTGCCTCGGCTGGCGGCTGAGGAGGGCTTCTAGCTGAGGTTAGGGTTTAGGGAGGGTTTGATGTTTAGGGTTTGGGGGGTTTTAATCCCCCTAAACCCCAAACCCCAAACCCCAAACCCCAAACCCCAAACCCCAAACCCCAAACCCCAAACCCTAAACCCTAAACCCTAAACCCTAAACCCCAAGGGCTTCTTTAGGGCTCGGCTTAGAGGGCTTGTAGGGCTTACAGGGCTTCTATGGGCGCTGCTTGTAGGGCTTAGAGTAGGGATTCTATAGGGCTTGTAGGGCGTATAGGGCTCTCATCTATAGGGCTTAAAGGCCTCAGGGTTTGGGCCTGTGCCCTGAATGTCCGACAACACTTCGTTCCCACAGACCCAACTAGCACTCCGCCTGGACACCTTAAGAAGCCTTCACCCTAAACTTCCTCAGCCCGAAGCTTAGAACCCAAAAACACGGCGGAGGTGTTTTTTTTTTTCTTAGGTCTGGCTCTCCCCTTTTTTTTTTCCTAGGTCTGGCTCGACACGTGGGTGGTTGAGTGGCTGCAAATACTGTAATTTGCAGTGTTTTACGCGTTTGGAGCTCCTGAATCATTGCAAAAACCGCTGCAGCACCCGTAAATCATGGCATTTCTGGGCGGTTGAGGGGCTGCAAATACTGTAATTTGCAGTGTTTTACGCGTTTGGAGCTCCTGAATCATTGCAAAAACCGCAGCAACACCCGTAAATCATGGTATTTCTGGGCGGTTGCGGGGCTGTAAATACCGTAATTTGCAGTGTTTCGCGCGTCTGCAGAATCTGAATCATTGGAAAAACCGCAGCAACACCTCTAAATCATGGTATGTCTGGGTGGTTGCGGGGCTGTAAATACCGTAATTTGCAGTGTTTCGCGCGTTTGCAGAATCTGAATCATTGCAAAAACCGCAGCAAAACTTGTAAATCATGGTATGTCTGGGCGGTCAAGGGGCTGTAAATACTGTGATTTGGTTTTAAAAAGATGTATATGGTTTGAAACAAACTTGCACGGCTTAAAAAAAGCGGGGGGGTTGGGGGGGGGCGCAGCCCCCCCCCCCATTTGCAAACACAATGATCGCATGATGGGAAAAATTTCAAAGACTCATAATGACTCATATGTCATATGATCGAGGCAAGCTTGCACGGATTGAAAAAAGAAGGGGGGAGGGGGGGGTTGGGGGGGGTCGCAGCCCCCCCCCCGTTTGCAAACACAATGATAGCCCCCCCCCCTCTTCCATTTGCAAACACAATGCTCGCATGCTGGGTTAAAAAGGATTCATATGCTTTGAAACAAGCTTGCACGGCCTAAAAAAAAGTGGGGGGGTTGGGGGGGGCGCAGCCCCCCCCAGTTGCAAACACAATGATACAAGACGGTAACTCCTGGACCATAGAATTAGTATCATGAGCCCCTTTAAGACGAAGGAATCCAGTCCACCAGTCTTGCCCATGTTCCCGCCCTTGTGATGCAGTAGTTTTAGTATCTTTTCACCAGTGAAGGGAGCATGTGAACACAATTATAAACTAGTGCATGAATTGTGTGAACATGTGAACTTAACTGCCAAGGGAGCAACATTAGTATTATAACACGGGCGAATAAGGGAATAATAATAAGCCCGTGCACTTATAATAATATAATGTAAGCATTTGGGCGCACATTAAAAAGAACTTTGGTGCGCCACAATTATAATGCCGTGCAAATTAGGAATTCTTTTGTCGCACGCATGCATTCATTTGTATCTTTCTATCTTAATATTATAACAGCATTTCTAAGGTACAGGATTTCCAAAGGTTAAAGATAGGGAATTTCCAAGGGAATAAGTGGTTAACCTACAAATATAGTGTCTCAATGGTCGTTTCGTGGAGATAGCGGTTTCCTGTCCTCTATTCGCTAGTGCTGGAACTCCTATTAAAGGGGGTCTTTATGCACCATAAAAAGCGGGGGGGTTGGGGGGGGGCGCAGGCCCCCCCAGTTGCAAACACAATGATCGCATGATGGGTTTTGAAAAGACTCATATTATGCTTTGAAGCAAGGTTGCATGGCCTAAAAACAGCAGGGGGGTTGGGGGGGGGGCACAGCCCCTCCCATTTGCAAACACAATGATCGCCTGCTGGGTTTGAAAAAGATTCCTATGGATTGAAAAAGCTTGCACGGCCTTAAAAAAGGCGAGGGGGATCGAGGGGGGGGGGGGGGGGGGCGCCCCCCCCATTTGCAAACACAATGATCGCATGACGGGTGAGGATATTTGAAAGACTCATGTGATTTGAGGCAAGCTTGCACGGATTAAAAAAACCGGGGGGGTTCGGGGGGGCCGCAGCCCCCCCTTCTGCAAACACAATGATCGTCTGATGGGTGCAAAAACTTCAAAGACTCATATGATTTCAGGCAAGCTTGCACGGATTAAAAAGAAGCGGGGGGTTGGGGGGGGGGGGGGGGGGGGCGCAGCCCCTGCCCATTTGCAAACACAATGATCGCATGATGGGTCTTAAACATTAAAAAAGACTCATATGATTTAAAGCAAGATTGCACGGCAAAAAAACCTGCAAACACAATGATCGCGTGATGGGTTTTTTAAAGGTTCATATGCTTTGAAGCAAGCTAGGACCAGAGGCCCGCAGGACCAGAAGACCACAGGACCAGAGGATCACGGGACCAGAGGACCAGAGGACCGCGGGACCAAAGGACCAGAGGACCAGAGGACCACGGGACCAGAGGACCAGAGGACCACGGGACCAGAGGACCAGAGGACCAGCGAACCACGGGACCAGAGGACCAGAGGACCGGAGTTCCAAAGGACCAGAGGACCACAGGACCAGAGGACCACAGGACCAGCCAGACCTAAGAAAGGGAGAAAAGGAGAGCCAGACCTAAGAAAAAAAAAACACCGGACCCCAAAAACACGGAGAACAAAAAAGGCCTCGACGAAAACCTTCGCACGCAAGAGGCAGCAACAGTTCCATGCAGTCACTAAGTCTAGCACCCCACTTAGCACCCGTGAAGCAGGCCCTACATCCTACCTAAACCATAAACACTAAACTCTAAACCTAAACACTAAACCCTCAACCCTACCCCCCAACCCCTTTCCACCCCAACTCCAACAAAAGCCACCGAAGCTCTGTTACCTTAGAGGTCCCCTCAACACCAGGCAAGTCAATCCCCTACAGCTTCCCAGGGTTTGTTTAAGGTTTAGGGTTTTAGGTTTAGGGTTCAGGGCGCTAAAGGACACAAGAGGACCTCTGCAAATCCGTGGAGCTCCTATAACCCTGAAACCCTGAAACCGTGAAACCGTCAAGCCCTGAAACCCTAATCCCAAAACCATAAACCTACACCCTAAACCCTAAACCCTAAACCCTAAACCCTAAACCCTAAAACCTAAACCCTAAACCCTAAACCCTAAACCCTACACTTGAGCCCTGCCCAGGCACAGGGACAGCACCAGAATGTCAAAGGCGCGCCATTTGTGCGCCTCTTCAGTTCAACCCCTTTGTGGCTTAGGGTTAGGGTTTGGGGTTTGGGGTTTAGGGTTTAGGGTTTAGGGTTTAGGGTTTAGGGTTTAGGGTTTAGGGTTTAGGGTTTAGGGTTTAGGGTTTAGGGTTTAGGGTTTAGGGCTGAGGGTGTTTTTTTTTTTTTTTTGGGGGGGGGGTTCGGGTTCAGGGTTTAGGGGAATATGGGGGGGAGAGGGCGTGAACGTTTTTGAAGACCCACAAGAGCCTCAAACCTGAATACCACAACCCTACCCAGAAGTCCATCATGGGCTGCATTGCGGGAAGTCCTAAGCCCCGGCTAGATTTAACCCTAAAGCCCAAGACCCTACAATCTAACAAATGCCTAAGCCCCAAACCTAAGCTGATCTTCAAAGCCCGGCCCTAGAGACCCTCATCTCTTTCGCGGGGAACCTCTTTCAAGATGTCTTCCGTGGCCTTCCACCAGGAAGGAAAGTTCCTGAGCCGAATTGCCGTCGAAGTCTCTGGACAAAGGAAAGTGGGACCCTAACCCTAAACCCTAGACCCGAAACCCTAAACCGGGGTGTGTAGGGTTTAGGGGGTTTACAGTTTTTTGAGGGCAATTTAGGGCTTGTAGGGCTTATGAACTGTTTATGAGGGTTTATAGGTTTTTGGGCTTGGGGTCCTGTAGAATTCCTAGTCCATAATCCGCCGACCCTGGCGGCGTGTTGGATGGGTTTCTGGAGGTGAAAACCTCCCTCTTCCCCTCCTCACCCCCCAAAACGCGGGGGGGGGGGGGGGGGGGGGGGGGGGGGGGGGGGGGGGGGGGGGGGGGGGGGGGGGGGGGGGGGGGGGGGGGGGTACCCCGCCAGCTTTTCCGTGGAGGAACAGGCCACCCACACCGCGTAAACTCATGGACCATAGGCGTTTTCGCACAGGGCATAGGGGCTCTTTTGGCAAAAAGCCTCTTTCAGACTCCCCCCCCCCCCCCCTACCCCCCGCCCCCATTGAAGGACCGCCCAGGCAGCTTCTCGGCTGACCCCCCACCCAGACCCGAACCGCAAACCCAATCCACCAAACCCCAAACCTTAAACTTGTTCTCCTGCGGGGTCGGCGGCTTGAGCCGGAGGCTCTTTTTTTACTTCTGTCCACCAAGAAAAGTGATAGCCCTAAAAGCCGCACCCCCAGCCCCCACCCCCCACATAGGAGTCGCCAGCCCCCAATCGTCATTTCGCTCTCGTACTAGACTCGGGAGTATCCTAGGAACAAAAAGGGTACCCTTTTTGGTTTTAAGGGGATTATGAGGGAACCCCAACCCTAAAAAAATGAAATAAGGGCCTACTCCCGGTCCTAGCCCTCAACCCTCAGCCCTAAGCCCTAAGCCCTAACCCCTAAACCCTAAACCCTAAACCCCCCATACGTCAAAGCCGCCATCCTCCGAAGTGGAAGCCCCACTCGGAGCTCCTCGTCCTCGGGAAGAGGTAGACCTTGTGCGGTGTAGGGTCTAGGGTCTAGGGTCTAGGGTCTAGGGTCTAGCGTCTAGGGTCTAGGGTCTAGGGTTTAGGGTTTAGGGTTTAGGGTTTAGGGATAGGGGTTTAGGGTTTTTGGTGTTTAGGGCTTGGGGTTTTGGGCGGTTTAGGGCAGACTAGTAGAGGGTGACCATGGTGACTGGACGAGCAGACGCATGGGCGACCTTGCGGATGTCAGTGTTTAGGGCTTAGGGCGTATAAGTCTGCCCGAAACCCTAAACCCTAAACCCGAAACCCCAAACCCTAAACCCTAAACCCTAAACCCTAAGCCCCAAGCAGCTCCTGCCCCTCAGCCCCTGCAAGGCGTTATAGGTGCTACGGTTCTACGACCTCCGCCCCATCGGACAGATGCATATTTGAAGTACCCTAAACCCTAAACCCATAAGCTCCTCATCGAGGGCATGCTCCTTTGCTGGGGGCTATCATTCAGCGGGCTGTGGCTTGATTGCTTGATTTCCATGCGGCAACTTAGTAGCCCAGTAACCATATTAGAATAAGGGCACCCTTTTTTTTGGTTGGTTACTTCTCAGGGAACCAGAACCGAAACAAAGGGAAAAGGGTACCACCGGGCTACCAAGGCAAAGGCTTGTTGAACTTCAACCATGAAGCCTAAACCCTGGACCCTTAACCCTTGAGCCACAAAACCCCCAGCCCGAAACCCCATGCCCCCCAGACCGTTTAGGGATTGGAGTGATTTGGGGGGTTGAACCCTTAACCCTAAACTTACACCCTAAACCCTAAACCCTAAAACCCCAGACGGCAACCTCTGCAAGCTGAGGCACCAGGAAATAGCTAATCAAGTGCCAGGCCTCGGCGGCGGGAGTGAGAGCTTTCAGGGTTTGGTGTTAAGGTTTAGGGTTTAGGGTTTAGCGCTTAGGGTTTAGGGTTTAGGGTTTGCTGTGATGGGGCGGTGCTTGAACACGCCCCTACACTGGGGACTGGGCCACCCCCTGGAAAGGTCAGCGACTTTTAGGGACCAGTACTGGTCCGAGGAGAACGTGTTCCGGTATCGACCCCCATCGTGGGCGCTACCGACCCCTGTGGGAGGTGGGCGAGCGACCTGGGTCGGCTTCGAGGTCGAAGGGCTTAAGCGCCGCTCCCCGGCGTAGGGGGGCGGCCTAGGCCATCAGTTTAGGGTTTAGGGTTTAGGGCTTAGGGCTTAGGGTTTCGGCTTTTTGGGTAAAGTTGGGGGATTAGGGTTTTAAGGAGCTTTTCGGGTTCAGGATTCCAAACTTGGATCCTCTTTGACCCAGAAAGGGCAAACATGAAATGTCACCTCATACTCAGTTGGGGGTGTAGGCTTAGGGTTTTGAGAGTTGAGATCTAGGATTCACGGCTCAGGATTTCTGGGTAAAGTCTGGGTTTAGGGTTTCCAGCTTCAAGGGTCTTGGGAGGGTTATATTCTAGAGCTTACTCCTGTTCACAACTTGTCTGTCCCAAGTGAACGTTCTTGGTTTGGGGATTGAAGTTCTTGGCAGCATGACGGCCACAAGGGTTTAGGGTTTAGGGTTTACGGTTTAGGGTCTTAGATCCCTAAACCCTAAACCCCTAAAACTTAAACCCCAAACCATGCGCCCCAAACCCAAGGCCCTAAACAGTGCATTCATAGTTCAGGCCTCCGAGAAAGTGTCTGAAAAGAACCCACGAGCCCACGAATAACCAAACCCGGAAAGCACCCTAAACGTTTAGGGTTTAGGGTTTTAGGGTTGAGGGTTTAGGGTTTAGGGTTTCGGGTTTCGGGATGAGGGTTTCGGGTTTCGTGTTTAGGGTTCAGGGTTTAGGGTTTAGGGACCCTCCGGAGCCCTGTTCTTGCGAAACCCCTGAGCCCTCAACCCTGACATTTTTGGGTTCTTAAGGGAGGGGGGTTCAAGGGGGGTATGTAACCCAAGGTCCCCAAGGCTCCCTAAGCTTCCCAAAGGTTTTCCCTAATTAGGTACCTGCCCCCCTTGAACCCCCCCTCCCTTGGGTTTAGGGTTTAGGGTTTAGGGTTTAGGGTTTAGGGTTTAGGGTTTAGGGTTTAGGGTTTAGGGTTTAGGGTTTAGGGTTTTAAGAACCCTATAATCAATATATAATGGGGGCTCTTGGCACTCAGGGTCTTGGCAGCCCAGCAACCCCGACAACTGATGGCATCTTTTGAGGATTGGTTCCTTCTACAATACAAGCAAACCCCTAATTAAACCCTAAACCCCTAATTCAACCGTAAACCCCTAATTAAATCCTAAACCCTAAACCCCTATGAACCCCTAAGCCCTAAACCCTAAACCCCAAACCCCAAACCGCAAGGCCTGGTCGTTGGCCTGGACGATGTCTTCAAGTTTTCTCGCCAAGTCCTGGACTAGGTCCGCACTTGAACTCCCACACCCCTCATCTCTGGGTTTGGGGTTTAGGGTTCAGGGTTCAGGGTTTAAACCAATTTTGTGCCCTAACTCCTCAGCCCCGCCCCAAACTCCTTCGTTTACGATGCCCCCTCCTTGCGATCTTTTTGCATCGAGCTAGCTCCATTTCAATGGCCGAAACCCGAAACTCTTAAACTTGCAAGGCCCCTGTACTTTTGGGTTTAAGTGTCAGAGGTTTTATGGGTTGAAGGGTTGAAAGGTTCAAGGGTTTAGGGCTTTAACGTAGAGACCCGATCAGGGCCCGTTGTTTAGATCTGGTCAGAAATTATAAGAGGGTGCCCTAAACCCTAAACCCTAAACCCTAAACCCTAAACCCTAAACCCTAAACCCTAAACCCTAAACCCTAAACCCTGAACCCTATTCCTAAACCCTAAACCCTAAACCCTAAACCCTAAACCCTAAACCCTAAACCCTAACCCTAAACCCTAAACCCTAAACCCTTTCTTGGGAGCGGTGACTTGTCAAATTGAAACCCGCAAAGGGTACCGAATTCAACTACCCTAATCCTAAACCCAAAACCCAAAACCCCAGAAGTATGGCTACCATGCTTTTCTCCCTACTTATAACTACCCGTGAACCTCCAAACCCTAAACCCTAAACCCTAAACCCTAAACCCTAAACTCTAAACCCAAGCAACAAACAAAAAGGTCTGAACACCGTCCTTCAGAGCGGCCTCGAGACTGGTCACCAGGACCTGGCGCATGCCAAGAGACCCCCAAGAGGGCCCCTTAAGGGATACGCTTTACAGTAAGGGTTTAGGGTTTAGGGTTCAGGGTTTAGGGTTTAGGGGTTTAGGGTTTAGGGATTAAGGTTTAGGGTTTGAGTTTTTTTGAAGTCCTGGTGCTTCGCCTCTGCAGGCCAACACGTCGGCGTGCCGCCAAAGCGCTCGTAGTGTTCGGGCAAGTGCAAGCGATGGTGGTGAAGCCGAAGCACCTATTCGGTGCCGTAGCACTCCACGAAATTTTCTTGGTGCTCGCGCTGCACTCGTCGCAACTCGCTGTAGTTGTCGTGCAGACAACTCTGTGAGCCTCCATTCAGATTTGGGGTTCAGGGTTTAGGGTGTGGGGCTTAGGGAGTTTACGGTCTAAGGGCACTCCCTCAACTGGCCCTTACAACACTCATGATCGACGTGATCCAGGGTAACTAGTATATGGGAGAGACTGGGATGGCCATAAATATTATCCTCTTAAACCCCAAAAGCGAGAATGTATAAAATATCCCCAGGCCTACCTAGACAATATGGAAGGAAAAAAAACCACAAAGTAAGACATAATCATGCTATCCCTCGTGATCACTTTAAATGCCCAGTGGGGGAACCTCAACTTAGGGTTAAGAACTCTTAGCCCTAAAGCCTGTAAGGAGGGAACATCCTCGATGTAAAGACTCTTAGGAGAAAGACCATAAGATCCCAAAGGGATCCCCCTCCCAAAGCCCTAGCCCTAACCATAAACCTATGGAAAACCTGAAGCTGGTTCTTGGTTGGGATAGTCTTAACAATCTGGGGTTTAGGGTTTAGGGCTTAGGATTCCTTATTGAGTTTAGGTACCCATAGACATGTAAGATGTTACCCCACTATGACAAAGCAAAAGCCGGAGAACCCTAAACCGCCCTACCTTGCGAGTCCGGGCCAACTCTGCAACCACCCGAGGGACGAGATCGAAGGTGGTGGTCTTCCTCGGACTTCTTCATCCACCCCCGCGGCTCCCCAGATTCGCCCCAAAAGTGTTTAGGGTTTAGGGTTTTGGGTTTAGGTGGTAGGGCTTTAGGTTTTGGAGCAGTTCCGGGTTTAGGGTCGAGTGACATGGAAGCCATCGTAAGAAGTGTAGAACGCCCGAATGCCCGAAAATCTAAACGCTGATTCTGAACACCAAGATCCTCTTCTATGCACAGGATCCCCAGTAGCCCAAGAACAAAAAGGGGGCTCCCTTTCCCATCTAGGGTAGTTTGTGTAGGTACCCTATGAGCCTCCCCCACCCCCCAACGAGGCTTAGAGTCCAGGAGCGTGGGCTCAGATTGTGGGGTTTGTTTAGCCTAGAAAACCCTAAACTCCAAACCCAGGTTCAGGCTTCTCTCAGTGAAACTTGATGTGGGCCATACTTATGGACATTGGGGGGGGGCTCCAGGTAGGTTCCGCTTCGGGGCATCGCACTTCATGTGTGAGAACCAAATGGGTCTAGGCTTTAGGGTTTAGGGCTTAGGGTTGAGGGTTTAGGGTTTAGGATCCATTTTTGAGGTCTCTGACTCTGGGACGCTGCTATGCTAACATAGTGATGTCCGTGAAAGCTTTAAGGTTATCAGGGTTGAGGGTTTCGGGTTTATGGTTTTTTGGGAGCAACCTATAGACCCTAAACCCACAAAGTGAAGGAACAACGGTACCGCTGAACATCCAATTTGAAAGAGGCCTGGCGGCCGTGGGGCCCCGCAAGCCCTAGAGACCCCCCAACGAGGTGTACTTAGGGCCACAGGCAATGGTGTAGGGTTCAAGGTTGGGTAGGGAGCCACCCAAAATTCGGCGAAACCATTTCATTTATTTAAGCATGGGTTCCCCAAAAACCCTAAACCCTAAACCCTAAACCCTAAACTCATAAAGGCTTCGCTCTTTTGGGGAGCCTGCCCCTCAAAAGCCGGGAAGAGGGCCTTACGGTGATGGGCCCCTGTCACTTAGTGTAACCCAATTAAGGTTTAGGGTTTAGGGTTTAGGGTTTAGGGTTTAGGGTTTAGGGTTTGGGGTTTGGGGTTTGGGGTTTAGGGTTTAGGGCAACCCACTTTAGGTCCCTTATACGTCTTTATGCCTCTACTTATAATCAAGAGCCCCTCCTTGTACCCTAAACCCTAGAGACCCTGGACGCTAAAGCTAGTACCGCCTGTCCTAGTCCTAGCCCCAGTCTGTACAACTCTGAACCCCAAACCCCTCAACCCCTCAATCCCTAAACCCCTAAAACCTTAAAACCCTAGACCCTAAAGCCCCAAGCCCAAAAACCCTCCGGCTAAGCGGCTGCACTGACACCTCCAATAGTGCTGACAGCACCTACAGGGCTTCTGGGGGTTTTGGAGGTTAGGGTTTGGGGTTTAGGGTTTTTTTGGGGGGTGAGGTTTTAGGGTTTAGGATTTGAGGGTTTAGGGTTTGAGGTCTTGAGGGCTTGAGGGCTTGAGTTGAGGGTTTGAGGTTTGAAGGCTTGAGTTGACGCGGGAGTTTAGGCTCTTGGGGGTTGGGGAGTGTAGGGTTTGGGGAGTTTAGGGTTTAGGGCACAGGAAGGTTTAGGGCGGAAGTTTGAGCTTCGGGTCCAAGGGTTTAGGGGTTTTGGGATTTAGGGGTTAGGGTTTAAGGGTTTATGCCCCCAGGATTAGGGCCAAAGTTTCGGGTGTGTGTTGAGGAAACCTGGTGTACTGACCGACAGAGCTGAGAGAACCTTTCGGAAGCCCGTAGACCCTAGGTCGAAGCTCAATTGATCAAGAGCACCTTGCAACAACGTACAATATCAATATATATATATATATATATATATATTTGCGGGGAAACAACAGACCATCAACCCTAGGCCCTTAACCCCCCCCCCCCAAAAAAAAAAAAAAAAAAAAAAAAACTGAACCCTAAACACCCTAAATGCCCGAATTAAACACTAAACCCAAAACCCTAAACCCCAAACCCTCAACCCCTAAACCCTAAACCCTGCACCCCTAAACCCTAAACCCCGAAACCCTGAAAGCCCTCACCCCTAAACCCTGCCCCCACCACCAGGGCCGCCTCAACCTCTGACTCTCGAGGCACTCCGAGTTGCGCCCAGAGCTGCGAGAATTGACTTGGTTTAGGGTTTAGGGTTTAGGGATTAGGGTTTAGGGTTTAGGGTTTAGGGTACAAACTTGGGACTTCGGGCTTGAGGATTTTTGGCGTCGGAGACAGCAGCTCTTCCAGTTTAGCATTGTGTGTTGCGGTGATCATTGCAGCATTCAGATTCAGGGTTCAGGGTTTAGGGGTTAGGGTTTAGGGTCTGGCTTCAGGCCTTGTCTTTGCGGAATGCGGCCAGCCTTCCCAGCCAGTATGGCAGGCAGGTGCCCCGAACGTCACCACAAAACCCTGAACCCTAAACCCTAAACCCTAAATCCTAAATCCTAAAAAAAATAAGGGAATACCTCCAACATCCTAAAGCCTCCTCTAGACCGCTTGCAAGACCCCCCCCTTCCCCCCCTCCCCACCCAGGACGACAACATTACGAGCAAACTGTGTCCCCTTCTACTCTGCACCCTCAAACCGAAACCCAGAAGACCCCGAATCCCTGCCTTTCCCTAAACCTAAACCCCAGACTAGCGCCACGAGTCATTGAATGCAAAGTCCCAACCCCAACTCTTACACATGCCTCAAAAACGTTGGACCCTAAACCACCCCCCCCCGCCCCCACCCACGTGGCAGCCTTGCCATAGTCAGCGATACTAGACGTGCTCTCGACATTCTGCAGGAAGTCCTGCTTGGGAGACCCTACACCCCTAAACGAAACCCCTAAACCCCTAAACTAAACCCCTAAACCCCTAAACCCCTAATCCCCTAAACCCCCCTAAACCCCTAAACCCCTAAGCCACTAAGCCCCTAAGCCCCTAAACCCCCACAGCGTGTCGGAGTTGTGAGTTTAGCGGCGGTCAGGGTTGAGGACCCCAAACCCTAAACCCTAAACCCTAAGGAATAAAGAAAGGTTAAGCTGTTAAATTTGCATTCTTCCTAGTAAATAAGGGAACCCAAGAACCTTGAAGCTCAACTATTGGCTGCTCTTAGCAGGGTAGCTATAAATTTATTTTTTAGCGTTAAGAAACCCAATAAACCCAAAAAGGCTAAAGATGTAAAGTTACAATAAAGCACCACAAAGCAACTATTGGCTATGTAAGAAGGCAAGTTAGATGTGGATGGATTTGCACAGCCAGAGATCCAAATGGCACAGCGGTAATGCCGTGGCAAATCCCACCCCATGTCGCCCTACTCCCACCCTAGACCCTAAACCCCCTACCTGTGGAGACTTTTTTAGGTATCAGTAGCTATAACGGGAACCCAGAACCAAAAAAAGCATTAGAGTATAGTACTCCAGAGCCCAGGACCCTGAATCCTACACCCGGTCGGAGGATTGTGGGGGTCAGGAGGTGAGGTTTAGGTTTTTGGGGCTTTTCGGCTGTTGGGTTTAGGGTTTAGGGTTTAGGGTTTCGGGTTTAGGGTTTAGGGTTTAGGGTCTAGGGTTTTCGGGTTTAGGGATCTTCGGGTTGATTAGTGTGTGGGTTACATCCGAAAAGGAGGTGCCTTAGGCCACTCCCGTCGGAAGTTCATCAGGTTGTTGCCTTCAACCGCAGTCCTCAACCAGAAACCATAAACCTAACCCCTAAACACTAGGCTCTGAGGCATATCAGGGATTAGGGTTGAGAGTTGCCCCCCCCCCCCCCCCAAAAGAGCCCCAATACCCCTCAATGAAGTGTTTAGGGTTTAGGGTTTAGGGGTTTAGGGGTTTAGGGGTTTCGGGGTTTAGGGGTTTAGGAGTTTAGGGGTTTAGGGGTTTAGGGGTTTAGGGGTTTAGGGTTACGGTTTAGGGTTTAGGGTTTAGGGTTTGAGGTTTAGGGTTTAGGGTTTAGGGTTTAGGGTTTAGGGTTTAGGGTTTAGGGTTTAGGGTTTAGGGTTTAGGGTGGTTTAGGGTTTAGGGTTTTGCGTATGGACTTTGAATTCTAAACAAATGTGAGTCAAAACATGTTCCTTCAGCAAGAGGGGTGTTGGGCTCTGGGTTGAAAACTTAAGCCACCCAGGATATGGGGACTTAGGGTTTAGGTTTAGGGTTTAGGGCTTCGGGTTTAGTGCTCAACTCTAACCTCTTAAGTCGAGATGCCCTGAACACACAACAAAACCTTTTGGAGCCCCTGTTGAGCACCTCCATCATGTCGTGCGCGGTTGTCTCCTCCTGCGGGGGTGGAAGGCTGCGCCAACTTGTCTAGGATTGCCCTTAGAGTCTTTAAAGATGCTCCTCTGAGACCCCAGCAAGGGACCAAAGGGCCGACCCTAAATCCTAAGCCCTAAATCCTTATCCCAAACCCTGAGTCTTTGGGAGGCTTCTTAGGGTTTCGAGAGCTGAGAGTCCAGGCGCTTGGTAGCCCGAAGCCCTCAACCTTCAATTGGAGGTTCATGGTACTTAGAAACTAATCATAACTGTACTTATACCCATATTACGGCACTTAAGCGGCGTAAAAGTGGGTTCTACGTACAGCTATAATTAGTTCCTAAGTACCATGAACCTCCAAGCAGGCAAGAGTGGAGGAGAAGATGTGCCTAAGGCCTTAAGCCGCGGAGCATGCAAGGGAATGGCCCTTTGCAAGTCTTAGCCATAAGCCCGTAACCCTAAACACTAAACCCCAAACCCTGAAAACCGTAAAACGCTCAATCTCCAACTGCCCCGAGGTTTAGGGCTTGGGGAATCCCCCCGACACTAGTTTGGGGCCCTGGGGGTCTAACTACCTATAGAACCCTAAGCCCGAGAACAAAAACAACTCACGTCCTCACCACCCGCCGCCCCAGCGGGCTCTTCCGCTGGCTGCTCGGTGGCCGCACCGTTGCCTGAAGAATGGCTTCACGCATGCATTTGAGGAAGAGGCGGCGGCGGCGGCGGCGGCGGCAGCAGCAGCAGCAGCAGCAGCACCAGCACCAGCACCAGCACCAGCATGATGGAAAAGTACAGCAGCCATAGCACAGAAGAAAAACAAAACGAAATGCGAACAATGAGACTTGCTTACTACTATTTGCTTAAGAACCTCCAGTACATATAAAGAAGAATGAACCCACGTTGCCCTTATAGGGAAGATTCTTGTTAGTTTTCGGTGAATCTTGAGCAAAGAGTAGTTTATTCTTACTCCCAAAGGGTCCATGTACCTATGTAGTATATGCTTGGGCCTTAAAGGGGTTCCTATCAAGTAGCTTCAGGGCCCAAGTATATACTATTTGGGTACATGGACCCTTAGGGACTCCTGGGCACGCCGAAGCACCTGAGACCACGCCGTCAGCGGCCAACCTATCCGCGAGTTGCTGCAGTGCCGGCCGTGGAAGGATCCGCGGCAGGGCGTCGAGGATCCTCGGGTCTCGGAACCCGAAACCCTAAACCCTAAACCCTAAACCCTAATTTATAAACCCTGAACCCTAAACCCTAAACCCCTTCGTGGCGCAGCGGTTCTGTCTCCGAGGTTCCTAGATTGATTTCCCTACATTTTAGTAGACATGTCGGATTGAAAAAAGCCGTACATGCAAGCCAAGAAGCCGTCTGGCCCCAGGAAAGCTTTGAAGAGACCGGGAAGAGGAGACGGGGGAAATCAGCTACAACCCTAAACCCTAAACCCTAAACCCTAAACCCTAAACCCTAAACCCTAAACCCTAAACCCTAAACCCTAAACCCTAGCCCTAAACCCTAAACCCTAAACCCTAAACCCTAAACCCTAAACCCTAAACCCTAAACCCTAAACCCTAAAACCCTAAACCCTTGGACATCAGGGCCATCTTGCACCTTCTGACTGCTAACTCGCGGGCGTGAAAAGGACAAACTTCAGGTGGCTTAGGCTCTCATCCTTCAGAGAGGGTTTAGGAGTTTAGGGTTTAGGAGTTTAGGGTTTAGGGTTTGGGGTTTAGGGTTTAGGGTAGACCCCTACAAGAAGAGGCGACCCACCTGAAATTGCCCCAGATTAGGATCAAACGTACCTTGGAACCCTATCCCTAAACCCTAAACCCTTTTCCCTTAACCCTTAACCCTAAACCCTAAACCCTAAACCCTAAGCCAAGGAGCTTGGAGAATCCTTCGGCCCTCTTGTCTTCAGGAAGCCCGGAGATCTCGGCCAAGAGCCGTGTCTGCATGGAATCCAGATTCTTCATGCGGAACTGGACCTGCTTGGTGGAGGTTGGGGTAGCCCTAAACCCTAAACCCTAAACCCTAAGCCCTAAGCCCTAAACCCCAAACCCTGCACTCAAACCCTACAAAAGCCTAAACCCTGACGTTAGGCCCTACATGGTCAGTTTTCTCTGCAAGAAGCAGGGTTTCACTTCAGCTACGCGAAGCATCACGAGGGGCGGATCAATCTAAGGGTAGTCTCATGGGCCCTTAATACGGCCCCTGACCTTCTTTGAAGGGTTCTGACGTATGGGCTTTTGGGTTGTTCCGGGTGGAAACGGGGCATGTCAGGGGCCCTCTTTTCAGGGCCCATATACTAAGGGGCCATGTGACCACCCTAAGCTCCTTGTTGCTTAAGAAACCCCCCCCCCCACACACACACACACACACAAAAAAAAAAAATCTTCCTGTATTAGGGCAATATAGGGATTGTTATAATACATTTGTGGGAGGTTCTGAAGCCCTAAACCCTAAACCCTAAACCCTAAACCCTAAACCCTAAACCCAATAGTAGTGAGAATGAAAGCCAGAGCCCCCCCCCCCCAAACGAGCCAACAGCATGTCTTGGGGTCCAGTGTTCTCAAGGTAGGTCTAGGGGTTTCAGGCTTTCGGATATGAGGGCTTAGAGGATTTAGGGTTTAGGGGTTTGTGGCCCTGAACCCTAAACCCTATAAACCCTAACCTCACACCCTATAAACACAAAACACATGTACACACCCAAGTCTGACACCTAAGCTACCGAGGTATTCTGACCTCTAGGCCCCTTGAAAAGCGTTCAGGGTTTGGGGATTGAGTTGTTTTACTGCGCAGGTTCTGAGCTCAGGACCTTTTTTGCCAAGACAAGCTATGAAGCTCGAAAGCCTAAACCCTAAACCCTAAACCCTAAACCCTAAACCCTAAACCGAAAACCCTAAACTCCGCGGAAGTGGTCGAAAACCTAAACCCTAAGCAGCTCAATGATCAAGGCGCGGGCTTGCTTTTACTTGCTTGAGGGTTTAGGGTTTCGGGTTTAGAGTTTAGGGTTTCAGGGTGGGATGTCCCCCCTTATACTAACAGTCCTTCATAGGGATGATGATGAGGGGGTACTACAATCCCTCTCAAGGATTGTTGGCATTAAGGGTGAACATCCGAAGTTTCAGGGCACCACATAAGGCTAAACCCTAAACCCGAAACCCGAAACCCTAAACCCCTAAGTCGCTACATCCCTCTTCCTGTAGCTCCCCTCGTGCTTAAGGCCCTCAAGGCCCCCAAACCCTAAACCTCAAGCCCTGAACCCTAAACCTTAACCTCCTTAGACCCTACACCCTACACTCCTTGAACTCTACACCCTAAACTCCTTATACCCTAAACTCCTGATCCCCCAAACCCTCAACACCGAAGCCCCAGAAAGTTCGACGCCCCGTCCCCAGGCCCGCCTGGAAGCTGTCCGCATTCGCATTCTGGGCCTTAGTTCGTCTGTAGGCACGGTTGGGTCTGGGATTGAAGGGTTTAGGGTTGAGGGTTTCGGGTTCAAAGACTATACCTAGTCAAAATCAAAAGACGCATCCCTGCTGTTTTCTGTCTTTAGGTCTTCGTAGGCTTCCTGCCGAGAAGCGTTTGGAACGATCCGGTCTGCTTCCCCCCAACCCCCCATGCTGGGTTTTGCAAAACCTCCCGACAATCCGGGACCTGCCTGGGACCCCTCTGGGACCCCCTGCCCCTGGGACCCCACCCGTTTTTTTTGCGGCCTTTCCTCCGGGCCGTGGGCCGGCCCGGCTGCCGAGGCGGCGCGCGCAAGCGTTTCCAAGTAGACCCAGAAAGTCATCAGAGGAATCCCCACTTAAGGTGTTCTTTCAAGTCCTTAACTTAGGAGTCTTGGGCTCTTTGGGCTAGTCCCCGTAACCCGCAACCCATCTACACCCCTAGCAGTTCCGCCCTCCCCCCTGCATTACCTAGTCAAGAATTTCGGGTCTAGGATGGTTTAGTTCATGTTTGTTAGGAACTCTACTTAGAGGTTCATGGTACTTAGAAACGAATAACCCACTTCTATGACCCCTAAGTGCCCTAATATGGTTACAAGTACAGTTATAATTAATTACTAAGTACCATGAACCTCCAAGTACATCTCAAGCCACGGCGAACGTTGTTGGGTTCTTCATGAGTTTCTCTGCAGTCCTTCTGTTCAGCACGTGTCCCCCCACTTTGCTTCGTTCCTAAGTACTCAAACCCACCCTAAACCCTAAACCCCAAACCCTAAACCCCAAACCCTAAACCCTAAACCCTAAACCCTAAACCCTAAACCCTAAACCCTAAACCCTAAACCCTAAACCCTAAACCTCCAAAGAATACCTTCGTTCAGCTTCAGCCTTCGTGCCTTGCGTTCACCCCTACAGAGGCCGAGGCATCTTTCACAGGCATGGCGTAGGGCGGCTTCAGCGGCTTCGAAGCATCCGGCGCCTGACTTGCATGGGTTTGGGTTTAGGGTTTAGGGTTTAGGGTTTAGGGTTTAGGGTTTAGGGTTTAGGGTTTAGGGTTTAGGGTTTAGGGTTTAGGGTTTAGGGTTTAGGGTTTAGGGTTTAGGGTTTAGGGTTTAGGGTTTAGGGTTTAGAGTTTAGGGTTTAGGGTTTAGGGTTTAGGGTTTAGGGTAACTGTACTTACAACTGTACTTATAACCATATTAGGGCACTTCGGGGGCTTAGAAGTGGGTTATAAGTACCGTTATAACTAGTTTCTAAGCACCATGAACCTCCAAGTGGGTTTGGGGGACGTGGCGGCTTTGGGGAGGCCTCATGATTCCCAAAGACCCCAACCCTAAACTGGGGTAGGCTTGGGGGGGCCCAGGAAAAAGCAGTCAGTGTAAGGGTTATATAGGCATCAAGGGTAAAAGAAAATAACATATTTTCAAGCCCACTGTAAGCCCTGAGACTTGAACCCTAAACCCACGATTCCCAAAAAACCCTACATCCGAAATCCCTCAGACATCCCCTCACACAAGCCCCCGGTGCGCAATCACGACCGCCGCCTTGAACTCTTGCGAGGTTGCAGGGTTTAGGGCCTAGAAGGCCTACGGGGTTAGGAGTTTAGGGTTTAGGGTTTATAGGGCCTATAGGGTTTAGGGTTCAGGGTAGGGGAGGGCGTAGAAAATGTTAAGGGTTTAGGGTTCAGGGGTAGGAGTTTATGGCTTAGGGGTACGAGTTTCAGGTTTAGGGTTTAGGGTTTAGGGTTTAGGGTTTAGGGTTTAGGGTTTAGGGTTTAGGGTTGGGGGAGGGGGGTAGAAAATTGACGGCCTTTCAAGGCGCAGCACCTGCTGCAGCAGACATGTATCCCCAAGTGACCGCTCTTGCGACGGTGTGTCAAAGCCTTAGCCCTACACCCTATAAACTTCAAATCCGAAACCCTAAGCTCAAAACCCTAAACCCTAAATACCTTACATAACCCTAAACCCTCAACCCTCAACCCTAAACCATCCCCTCTCCCAATCCAGCTCCACTCGTGAGGCCGAAGGGACGGGTGACTCGCCACCTTTCCCTTTGCCTCCCTTGGGTGGATGTGGCTCGGCCTCTGGCTGAAAGCATCCGGGCGTGAGGTGGGTTTCCCTAAACCCTAAACCCTAAACCCTAAACCCTAAACCCTAAACCCTAAACCCTAAACCCTAAACCCTAAACCCTACAAAGCGGCCCTGAGGCTTCGAAAGGAAATAACAGGGCTTAGGGCTTAGGGTTCAGGGTTTGGGGCCCTTTTTGGCTTGAAGGGGACTCAATACCCCAAACCCCAAACCCTACAAACCTATAAAACCCTAAGCCCGAAACCCTAAGCCCTAGACTTAAGCCCTACACCCTGCACCCTACAACCCGCACACTACACCCTAAACCTAAACCCTAAAACCTAAGCCCCAGACCACGCCTCGGCCGCAGCTTCAGGCGGCTTCGCGGCGGAACCTTTTCCATGGCGCGGCGGGATCTCCTCCCAGAAGGGCGATTCCCAAAGAGCACCCAAAGAATTTTAGGGTTTAGGGTTTAGGGTTTAGGGTTTAGGGTTTAGGGTGAGGGCTTGGGGCCCCTAATCTAAGGCGGTTGAAGGTGTCCTCCTTACTTTAAATGCTTGTCCCTCCATGCTTGGGGTTGAAGGTTTAGGGTTTAGGGCTTGAGAACCTCCAGAAAAAAAGAACCCCTACAATGCCCTTATAAGGAACACATATATATATATATATATTGCTTTATTATTATTATTATTATTATTTATTTTTTTTTTTTTTGGGGGGGGGTTGTTTTCGGAGATTGTCGTTTGAAGGGTTTCGGGCCTACTTTTAGAAGGGTTTAGGGCATGTTGTTGTGGAAGGCGTGTGCTTGGGGCTTTTGCTTGTTTAGGGTTTAGGGTTTGGGGTTTAGGCTTTAGGGTTTGGGGTTTAAGGTTTAGCGCTTACAGGGGTTGAGGAGTTGAAGGGGGGGAGGGGGGTGGTAGGTTTTGGGGTTGTGTTCAGAGAAGGGTCTAAACTTCAGGGCTGAGAAGGCGCCCAGCCCAAGCACCAAACAACAATCACACCACCATAAACCCCAAACCCTAAACCCTAAACCCTAATCCCTGGGTTCAGGGTCTAGGGTTTAGGGTTTGCATTCGCCCCTAGGCTCGAACCCTGTGAAGTGTATCAGAAGGCCCCATGCCCTCTAATCAAGGAATAGACCTTAATTCCTGAAATCATACACAAAAATGGGTATTTCCCAACATGGGGCTTCCCCTTCTATACCCCAAACAGAGAATCCCCCTGAAGGGACCCCAAAAAGGGTACCCCCATTTTCGGAAACCCCCATATATGTACGTATATATATATATATATGTGGGTGGCTGTCAATATTCCTTCTTCCAGGAACGGCGGATGCTGAAAAAAATCCTGGTGCCGCCTTATGACGAGAAGGAAAACGAAGGTCTGGAACGATGGCTTTGGCAAGTACAGAAGTGTAGACTAATTCTTGCTCCCTATGCAAAAACCTCGCAAAACACACTAGCGCCGCCATTTTAAGACTCAGGCATCGTCATCGGAACTATTGGAGCTACTTGAGCTCGAGCTAGTAGTGCTTTGCTCTTCCAGGTTGGCCATGTTTCAAATCAGCTGTCTTAGTACTGCTTTATGTCTTGGATGGGCAAGTGGCCACCGCAAGCAGTTTCCCTTCATATTTGCTAGCGCGATGCTAGCGCCAACCTAGCGCATATTTCGCCGCATGACTTTAGAATTTTGGCACGCCGGCAGTATGCATCAGGAGCAACCACAGGGTTTAGGGTGTAGGGTTCAGGGTGTGTAACCCAATGTTCCACAGTCTTACCTAAGCCGCAGGCCGCCTATGCTACTTAAGCTTCCCGAAGCTGGATCGCTCTAAACCTAAACCCTACACGCTAAACCCTAAAATGTTAGCCTTCGGAAAGGAACACCTAGCGCCACGCTAGCGCTATCCTAGCGCCTACATGGGGAAGAGCCTGAAACCTGCATATACGCATGGTGCCGCCTTACGGCGAAGACATAAACCAGCAAGAGCGGAACTTCATATCGCACTTCCATCATATTTTACATACATGGTATTTTGAAGTCCGCCCATGTATCTGTGTATGTATAGTCGGATCGCCTAAACCCTAAACACTACACCCTGTGATAGGAAGGGGGTACTTTTTCTTTGCCGGGCTACAATTTGGATACTGGTTGTAGGCTGGAGGACTCAACCCTAAACCCCAAACCTAAACCCTAAACCTTAAGTGCCTCTTGCAGCAGGCTTGGGGGAGCTCTGACTCGCACGCAGGCTTAGGGCTTAGAGGGCTTAGAGGGGTTCTCTAAGGATTTATAGGGGCTAAACCCTAAACCCTAAACCCTAAACCCTAAACCCTAAACCCTAAACCCTAAACCCTAAACCCTAAACCCGAAGCAACCCTAAACCCTACATAGGGCTTTGGAGGGTTGTATAGTGCTCAAAGGTGCCCGATCCCCAGATCGGCTCGCCCGGGCGCCTTTCCGCCTTTGACGCCAGGCGAAACCTCCTGTCCCAGAATGATGCTTCGGGTTTAGGTTTAGGGTTTAGGGTTTAGGGTTTAGTGTTTAGGATTTAGGGTTTCGGGTTTGGGGTTTAGCGCTGCAGTGCTCAAATGCAAATCGAACTCGCCGCTTTCGTAGCTTAGGTTTAGGGCTAGGGCTCTAGGGCCTTAGGAAGTGGAGCTTAGGGCTTTCGGGCTTTTAGGCTTTCAGGATGCGGTACCTGAGAACGTTCAGGGGGTGGGGGTCACGGCAGGAAGGAAAATTCACACCCTGAACCCAAACTCCTAAAAACACAAGGGCAAAGCTTCGGAGTTTTAGGGATGTAAGATCTGGAGGACAAAAACCCCCTAGTTCACAAAGAGTCCAAGAATGTCCCTAACTAAGGGGTTTAGGGTGTAGGGGCTATAGACCCTAAATAATCAGGCGAGGACCTCGAATCAGAGTTCAGGTGCATAGGAGCTGGGCAAAGGTCGGAAGGTTTTGGATTGAGGGCTTAGGGGGTTTAATGAGTTGAGGGTTGAGGGTTTTAGGGAATTTTCGGGTTTACTGGGTTGGCCTTAAAACCCTTTGCAAGAATATCTATATGTCGGGTCCCTTCTGAACCCAAGTAAGGAAAATAAATAATATCCCCAAAGCCATCCTGGTTTAGGGCCGAGGGTCTACGCACTTTGGTGACAGCGCTCGGGAGTTCGGGAGAGCGGGACGCCCCAAACCGGAGAAGTTCTGGGAGTTTCAGGGTTCATTCTTTTGCCTCCTCAACTACGAAGCGTCTTTGCACAAGGCCGCCCTCAACCCTCAATCCCGAACCT